AAGGACGCTTATATTGGTTGGAGTAGTGTAATCAGCCTACACATAATGTACAGAACACACGAAACTTAGCTCATTTAGGTGAATGTTATTATATGAAAAAGCACTGATTCAACACTGTTTGTTGTTATAGTGAAGGCTCTTTGTCAATCTGTATTCGCTTGAATACCCTTTTACTGAATTAACTGCGAGTTGGTCTTCTTGAGATGAACATTTTAATGAACTTTCTTAAAAGAATACTTAAATCCACACTCATACCTCAGCGATGAAAGTGGGACAATCCTCTCTTGATGTGCTTTGCAGATCCATTCGAAAATAGGCGTGATAGCAGTTTAAGGCCTCCAAATGCCCTAGTACGGCCGAGGGTGGAGAGAGCCTGCTATCTCTCTCCAATTGCTCTCACATGACTACGGGTATATAGCCACTGCCAAAGAAGTCCTACTCACTACCTTCTCGTAGTGGGGTGTTGCTTACGAAATTTGAGGGGACGGAAAGCGAACGTCCAATGCTTAAACCGGGTTGGTGGGTACGGAGGACCCACCTAGGGGAGTTAGAAATCCCTGATTCCAAACCAAAGGTGGACATGGACTCCAAGATCATGAGGGAACAACTGGCGTATGAACCCATTCTTGATCACCAGATACCATGGGACGGCATCTGCTAACATTGCTACGCTGTCTTTTGGATTAGACCTCTAAGTCAAAAGTTCGGCGAGAGGTCTCTTGAGAAAACCGTATGCTTCGGTTTGGGTGCCTGGAAAGTATCCCGACCCTCTCATAAATCGAATGACGGAGTGTAGTGCATATATATTGGCCTTCCTTGTATCAATTTTTATGTCTAAATAAATAAAATGAACGGGAGTTGAAATACGTTTCTTGTAGTGACATTTACTTTCACAGAGTGGAATAATTTGTTTTTTTTATTAGTATTAATCAACAAACTCCGCTTGTAGCTCTATAGAATTCTTGCCAGTCCTAAGCTCAGGTAAAAGTGGAAGGTTGGGCATGCAGTGAGCACCTCGAGAGCCGTTGTACACTAGTCATCAAGAAAATACCTTACACAAAGAATCCGATGGATTCTGTCCAAAGAATCACGAAAATCACTAAACATATCTGTCATCTGCGTCTGCAACATTGGTCAGCATTGTACGTCGTGGTAATCGATATTCAGGAATACGTAACACGTGACCCATCTCAATCGATGAAGATTTACAGTCTCATTAAATTAGAGGGTATTCGTAGGTTACTAGTATTTGATAAGAAGGAAGGATACCTGACTAAGATACCAGAGAAAGGAGATCTGAACAAGTGTGAGAACTACAAAAGCATTACACTACTATCAGTACCAGTAAAAGTTTCAACAGGGTTCTGTTCAATTGAATGAAAAACTCAGTAGACATCCAACATCGAGATCAACAGGCCGAATTTTGTAAGGACCGATCATTCACAGACCGAATCGCAGCAATATGGATCATTTTTGAGCAATCAATAGAATGGGATTCGCCACTATAGATCAGATTTCTTGACGGCGATGGGGGAACCTTTTGAAACCATCCTTGACACTAGAGGAAGAGTAGCTTAGATGATCGTCAACATCATATGGAATTCATACGATGGGCTGTATTGCAAAGTCGTGCATGGAGGACAACTGATAGATGCATTCCAAGTGAGGAGCGGTGTCAGACAAGGCTGCTTATTCTCGCGCTTTCTTTCTTGTGGTTGACTGACTGGATTATGAAGACCTACATATCTCAGAAGAAGCACGTAATACAATGGACAGTTTAGATGCAAATAGACGATTTGGACTTTGCAGATGATTCAGGTCTTCTATGTCACACGGCAACAGATGTAGATGAAGACGGCCAATGTTACAGCAACGTCTACAGTAGTAGATCTCAACATTCCAATGTGTGAAAGCAAGATTCTGAAATACAACCAAATCACACGTGATGGAGAAGCACTGAAATAGGTGGATGCTTTCACGCGACTGAGAAGCATAATTGATGAACAAGGAGGATCTGATGTAGATGAGAAGGCACTGATTGGCAAAACATGGGCAGAATTCTTACAACTGGAGAACGTATGGAACTAAAAATAACTGTCAGTCAGTTACAACATAGGAACAAGCACATAAGTGCATCGGTCAAAGTTACTGTATCTCATTAGCGGAACAAGTTAAACACCAAATTCATAGAAGTAATTAGTTCATCAGCCAACATGAAAGCAAAAGTCTTCAATACAAAGGTCGAGACAGTCCTATTGTACAGAGAACTACTACAACTTTCATCAAAATATGTAGGTATTTATAAACAATTGTTTACGCCAGACACTCAGTGTGTGTTAGTTGGATACTATCAGCAACAGTCTACTGTAGGAGAGGACAAACCAGCTTTGAGATAAAGATCAATTTTGAAAAAGACGCTGGAGGTGGATAGGACATACATTACGAAAATCATCAAACTGTATCACGAGGCAGGCGTTAATTTAGAATCCTGAAGGGAAGAGGAAAAGAGGCAGACCAAGGAACATATTGCGCCGGGAACTGTAAGCAGACATCAAAAGAATGAATGACAACTTGAAAGGACTGCCCAAGACAGAGTTCATTCGAGAATCCTGGCGGGTGATCTACGCTCCTTCACGAGGAGTAAGTCTTTAGTAATTAATTAAGAGCTGATAATTGCAATGAGCAACCGAATTTGTCGACCTGTCCAGTCATTGTTCCTTATACATTTTTTGGAAAGCCCCATGCTATTCTTGGTGTTTTAACTTATTTTCCCATACAAACTGGATAGCAAGGATAACAGTAAATAAGTGGATGTAAATTACGCAAGTTACTATTTTTTCCTCAACGGCTTAAAAACTCGGTGTAATGAATGAGGCGAAACTGGTCCTAGACGCACATGATTCGTTTTTTTTAATTGTCCTTAATCGGTCGCATAGTCTTTTTTAACTGTCTCCATTTCTCATTAAACCCAGGTAATAATCCATTAAATTTAATTCATTACACTCCATACATTTCACCACATTATTATTACATAGTTTAATTCGTTGTTTTTCATACTTTTTAAGTTCACAAATGGAAATGCATAAAAAGTTGACTGGTTAGCTGCAAAATGCTTTATTTCATTGCTCAAATATAATAAACTAAGTTACATTATACAAACATACAAAGGTAGGCTAGGTATCATATCTACTATTTAGCGACTTATAAATTAGAGCATACTAAGTGTATACATCTACTAATTAGTTAGTATTATGATTCACGTTGTGCTTGTGAGTTGTTCAGCGGCGTTAGACATCCCAACAAACCTTATGTGGAATCGAACTTAACTTTGTTCGTAGAGTTTGCGCATTTATATAAGTATTCATGTCTTGCAAAATATCACAGAACTCCATACTTCATAAGACAAATTTCTTTTAACGAAAACTCTGTTGCCTTGTATATTTCACTTGCATGAAATATGGCGGCTCTCATAAGAATAACATAGTGAGCTAAACCATCGTCTTATGATAAGGGATTATTTTAGACGAATGTACTGTGGCCGTATATTATTAAGTTTAACAGGGTCACATCAGTGAGCTCGACCAGCTTCATAAAGTGAATTGATTTTTTATTAGTTAAGCCTACCAAACAATAGCTATGCTAATGAAAACATTTAAGGGTAATACACCATCTCTAAAAAATCCCTAAAATATCATGATCATCAAGTGCGATAAAAATCGACTAAAAGTTGTCTGTGGGGTGAAAAGTTGTTTCGTGGAAAATCGCTTATCGATTTCAGTAATCAACGCCCTTCAGTTGTAGTAACCAGTGAATGTTAATTATCACAAACAATAATCTGCGTCTTTAAAGTATGTAATTTTGAAAAATAATCGAAATCATCATCGTAACTAAGTGTAATCCACTTCCTAATTACGATTACGTCTGGAGCAACTTATAAAATGGATTTCAAATTTAATAAATAGCTGAAAGTGTGGGACGAACAGGTGGATGGAAAATCGACACTTAGTGAGGACACATTGCTACGCATTTTTACAACTTTAGTAAAATTTAAACAATATATTGATTATCTGCAATCAGAATTTTTAAATTGCAGTTTTATGTCCAACTGTATGTCAAAATAACTTAATATGTGTTCCGAATAGCTTTCCTAGTGTTTGAAACAAAGTTGGTGAGTGAGACAATAGTTGGACGCAGTGCCGCCTTTTTGCTGCACAGTATCTCATTCAAAGCACCACGTAGCACCGACGTTCATACAAACACTTTACAGGAAAGATGTACAAGCGTAGTCTTTTTCCATATTTGGCTTTATTTAGGCCCTAACCAGAAGCGTTAAACTACACTAATTTTTAAACAAATAACAACGTCGATACTCCTAATTGGTCTTGTAATACTTAGAGCAAAAACTTAGGGTCCTCAGACCCTAATATTGTTCCTTCCACAACTGGTCGAATATTATACCACCCCACTGAAAACGTCCCTAAAATACCTATGAGAAGTTTTATCATCAAACATCTTAACACTGAATATAGCACTGTTACAAACTCACCAGTAAATGACTATGACTAAATGAGAAAAGATTTACTAATCCTCAATAATTGAACAGTGTGTTGTAATGCCCGGGACCTCTGGATTTCGATCCCATATAAAGTCATCACTGTGCACTTCTGATGAGTCCTGGATTTCTTCTGTTTTGTGATTTCCAACTGCTTGTCTATTGATTTTATTCTAAGATGAAAAATACTTCTAAACTGTAAAAATAAAGGAAGATTGAGTACTTAATAAAAGGATTTATATACAAATATACACACTTATCTGAATATCGATGATAATAAACTATTGGTATTTACACACAATTTTCTCTATGGAATGGATAGAAATGCTAAATAAACATTGTATACATGTTCGAAGTGTTAATGCTTGAAAAAAATATTTGGGACAGGCACGTCAGTATTTATAACATGAGAATCATATATTTGTGGGGGAAAGTTATAGGATGTACATCAGGAAGTTAGCGTATTACATTGGCTATCTGTATTTGGTCGCGATGGGATAATGACTTTGAGTTCCAAACCTCGAGTGGGAGACGAACCTTTGGTATCCGGTGAGTTTAATCTATTTGGCGGAGATAAACTGTCTAAAATCTGATGCACAGAACTAGAGTCTTCAATGCCCTCAGCTTCAATAGTATATGTGCAGTTTCCTGGTTCAGGTTTCATTTGTAACTGAAATTGGTTAAGGGAAATAGATGTGGGCAGAAGCGATGTATTAGATGAATTAGTTGTATGTTGTACCGTAAAATCAGTGCGACAGCTCGAACTGTTGAACGGTCCTGGAGACTGACCTAAACCTTCTCCAATAAAAGACTCATTAAGCGCATTAGCCGACTTGAGTAAGTTCTGAGTTTGTTGGGTGACCGCAGCCTGCAATCCTGATAACGTTTGACCCCGATAATGAAAATGTGTTTTTAAGTGCGATAATACATTACTCAAAACTGGATACCTGTTGCGGGCTATGGAAAAGCGTACGGCTGATGTGCGCTCACGTTTCTCTCTGCAGAGATGACAATAAAATATACCAGTAACACGTTTAAAACCCTCAGGAGTCACTGACAATTCCATTTCCATATCAAAATCTCGACCACGCATAAGGTAAGCGTTAACAAACTGTCGTGATGCTAACCTGATTGCACTAGCTGAAGAATGCTGTTTCAAGCGCTCCAAATTGACTCCTTCATTCTCAAATAATCCATTTCCGTATCCGACTGGAGAGGAACTGATCAAAAAGTTAGAATGAGATGGTATAGCATTTGATGTGATGGCGACAGAAGGCATATTTGACACTGGAATCGTATTACGTGATGAAACAGGAGAGATGCTAGTTCCTGGATGAAGCACAGGATTTGTATCACCAGAGTTACAGCTACTTAAACCAGAGAGTGTCGTTAAACTGTTTTCATCGGGTAAAGAATTAGAAAACAAAGTGATATTATTGTATCCATTTCCACTCACAGCAGCTGCGGCAGCTTGGAGAGCAGCGGCCATGATCACTGCTGGTCCGTCAGAAGGTGGAACACTTGGATCTGACCTGCGTAAGGGATTCGGGGAATCTGAAAAGTAGGTTTTCGACGTCAAATTTACCACCGATGTTGGAGATGTTGAATCCAAATTTTCCACAAAGTTGCTTGGTAATGGGTCAGCCAAGGTAACAGGCGGTGAAGATGTTGAAGAAATTAAGTGAGACAATGAAGAATCTGTTTGACAACCTATATCACTGAAGCCCTGATCACATGAGTCTGGGACAACTATGAAATCCTCATCAATAGGATTTTGACCCTCTATCGATAACTGAGATCGACGATACCTCCGACGAATTTCGTGTGCAGCCAAAAGAATTCCACAAGCAGCACCTGAGGGTAGTTTAAACTTTAATGGATCATTTGCAAAAATGGGCCCTACGAAATGCTCTCGTAAGGTAATTGACTTCATAATCGAACAAGCATGTCCAACAAACGTCTCAAGCCTCTGTAACTGATGATCATCTAGTCGGGCGACAACATACGGTGTACAAAAGCCTGCCAGTTCAAGACAATGAACTACATATTCCGAGCAGACATAACGTGAGATTAAGTCACGGAATTCCGGATCGAGTTTAGCGAGCTTTAGCGAATCGACGGATTTTTCACCAAAAGTTGAATCACTACGCAGAAAATGTTCAGGATTGCAACTAAGAAGTACATTTTCCTCGTCTGCCGACTCTACAATGTCAACGTGATCTTTTAACGATGGAAATTCATATTCTCCATATGTGGGTGCTTCTATATGATTAACTGCATGCACAGGCCCCGATAATGATGATATATGAGACCGCTTGCGACGATGATGTACAGATACTGAAGTACTTGATATATGAATATCCTTTGGTTGGATACTGTTATGTCCATGTTTTTGTTCGTTGTTGATCATATCAGTGTTTAAAGTTTCGTTAACGATGAGGTTCGGTGTCCCAGACGACTGTTCCATATTTGCTTGAACTTTGGAATTTATCCAACGAAAGTCTGTTACAAATATTCCATAGAAGTAGTAAGCCACGTTGCTATTTATGTAACTACAATAAAATGAAGAAAGTCATTTGTACTAAAATTATTGGAATGCTTGGTTTTACGTCTGAGTCAGTTTAATACTTTGAAATGAGAGTTGTGCGAATTTACATACAAGAATGACTTTGACGGGGAACAAACGGTGTACAAACCTATTTCAATCACCGACTACGCAATGATTGTGTCTTGGTGTTGTTCCACTGCTTTGTGCAGTAGACCTTGCAAAGAAGAGTAGAAAGTGATTCTCTGAGAAAATACCCTGCTTTGGATAGGGCCTCCAGGTGTTCGCAGTTCTCAGATAATGAGGGAAGATCATGAATGACTAAACTACATCTTACATTAATTTCAATATTTGAACTACTAAGCAACTCCACTAAATTGAAGATTTTATTTTGTCCAAGGGGTTTTAGTTTGCCAAATAATTAATCATATGTTTTTTTAATGAGTATCTCATAAGAATAGTTTTTTTCATGTAAAGTCACTACCATCGATGTTTGAAACTTAATGTGGGCGGATTTATCTCCACAGAACGAACTACTAGTAGTGCATTGTTATAGCTTAGAGACCTATCCTCAAAACTATGGTGAAAAACTACAAGTTTGTTATCTATACATCGTTTTGAAAAGCGTGCCCCACATATGATTATCCTGGACTCAGTGCTGAGATTGGTTAGTCACTGAGCGCCAGAGCATGAGCAGCACTTACCTGTTTTGTTTTCATTACGTGATTTATTTGGTGTGAACTTGAGAAACTTGAGGAAAACTATCCTTTGTAATCCCCACTACATTATCAGATTAGAGTCTGAATACGGTAACTATGGGTCCTATTATGGTCGAATGATCCATTTGTATTGGTTACTTGGAGTTCCCTATTGATGCGTAGGACTGCAATTAGTCCGTTTTCTTTAGGTATATGTGGATCCTGTGAGAATCGCCTCAATATGGCTACTAAATTACAAGCACTTCAAGCAGAGATGGACGGCAGCTAGCAGTGGGACCTAGGATATGGGTTTCATTTTGTTTGGGACTCGTGAGCTGGGTGTACCCGTATCCCTGAGTCGATGTCCACTTCGGGACTCAAACCCAGTACTGTTCGCTTCGAACGCCATCGCGTTATGCACTCAGATTTATAGATAGGGTACAGATTTAACAAACTTTATCTGACTGATAACGGTCTTGGAAAAATTAACCGTCTATTTAAGGGATATTACTGAGTTCAAGACTTCATAGGCACCAATCAAATAGTCACAAAACAGCTTTGAGATTAATCCACAAACAAAATACAAAACAGTACGCTGGAGGTAATATATAGAACAAATTCCGGAGACCATAATTTATAGACGAAGCAATTAATTTAAAGATTTCGAGGAGAAATATACTTATCCACATGGCTAAATAGAATTTTTACATTATATCTAATGTCAATTGGTGATGAAAACCCCAACTCTTATTTCTAACTCCAACTTTCAGATTCCGATCCTATTACCTCAAGCCAATCCATAACCCTCTTTTTAGCCCTAGGAAGTTTCTCACTCTGGCGTCCCTCATAGTCCATCTAAACATTATAATCTCGTCCGAATTTCTCTATTCATACTAATAATAAATTAACAATTACATAAACTTAGTGATCAAAATTGCTGGAGTACTATCATTTTCAGTGACTGGAGTATAAACCACAGATCAATGTGTCAATGGTGAGTCTGAAAGCCAGTGCCATGTAGTCTAGAGAATCTTTATAGTGTCTAAAAATAAAGGACTGCTTGCTAACAAGCACTTGCCTACAATTGCTAGCGTGAATTAATGGTCTACATACCGCATGTCAATTATTAGTCTCCTCATAAACTACGATTCTATCGACTGCGAATGTCTTCAGTCAGATATAGCTTTTTCAACCAAGTCACTTGCAGTCAACATGTCCGTGGAATTTGTGTAAATGGATGAGAAGGTTGGTAATCCTGGTAAATCTAAGTGATAAGTAAACAACTAGCTGTAAATTCAGCTGAAATTCGAACTCGGCTGCAAAAATTGGGAATGTCGCATTATCTCCTCAAGGGAGGCAAAAAAAGAGACTTTTTGGCGCGTTAATCCTTTACTTTCTTGTGGGAAAGGCACTTTTGTTTGCCCTTATTTGTTTGCTTGTGAGTTTATGGAGGTATTTTACAAATCATTTACTAGTCTTATGAAAAACGTGAAACGAACGTCATATTTAAAAGTAGGTAGTACAAATACAACATTTAAGTACTTAAAGTACAACAACTAACCACTAAGTCTCTGGTCAAATCCACAACCTCTAGGTCGACCCTTGGCGATTTCCAGTGTCCAATATCTTCGTGATGAGGTAACATACAAATATTATTTGTTCTCAAACATCGACATCTGATAATGTTAGTACACCTTAGGAAGATTGAAAATTCCAGCAATTTCGGAAAATTTGAAGCTCATCATGTACAAATAAAGCAAGATAATAGAAGAGAAGGAAATCAATGAGTGAAATAGTGAATTGTTCTGCAAAGTCAACCAGAGTTTATGAGTATGAAGTAATGATCTGTTTAAGACTTCCGAAACAATAGAACTTTTTATGGATGCAGGGAACTCTAGGTAAGCTGACAGTGAAATCCAAGACATCATCAACATTTGGGAGTGGAGAGATTCCTACCTGTCTTTCATTCAAGTCATATAGGAGTGCTTAGTTATTTCAATAGATTCAAAAGTTATTATGGATTCATTCAATAATGCCTTGAGGGTCTTGAACGTAGTGTACAAATTGATTTTTCAATTTTTTTGAGGAACAATGGAAATATTTTATGCTCTACGCACAAGACAAATAAAAACGAAGCGTTTGATTGTCTTGAGAAAGAAACATCTCGTGTCAAAGTGAGGTATTAGATATCGTAGATGACAGTTTACTGCACTACGTAATTTTTTATCTTGACTTAAGCAGCGGCAGTTATGGTGTTGGGGACGGATAATAATTTCTTTTTTCATAATTCTGTACTTGATTTCAATTACGGAAAACCATACATTCCAGCACACCCAGTGGTTTCTGGAGGACTTAAGTACTATTTCATGAGTTACTTTAGAAGCACGGGTTTGTTATGAGAAGTGCTATTGCACTAAGACACTGGTATTCCTCACTAAATTGTTGTTTAGGCTAAATGTGCTGCAGACACAACAAAAACGCAGTTTGTATCCGAATACAAGGCTTATTTATTACCTAATATATTTAATGTCTCCATTATGAGCTAGTAGCTTTAGAGAGGGCTTGCCTCTTAACGTTAAGTTGTTGTCACGATCTTTTCATTATCGTCCACTCTTAGCTTAGCCTCACTAATACAGAAGACCAAGTTTCAAGAAGTTGGACCGCCGGATTCCCTTTGGGACATATATCTTCCTGTCCCTCCATACTCTTACCTTCACTGTCTTCACATGTTTGGCATTTTGCTGGAGCTAATATTTATTCAGTGACAAAGAGGAGGTAAGGCAGGCTTGTCGATTAAGAATAGTAGAATATTACATAGAAAGTCAGAAACATATTAGGTGATGAGATGACCTAAAGTGCAAGTTAAGATAGAATATGGTTTGAAAATGACGAACAGAAGAAAGTAGTGGGAGTAGATTGGTAGCGAAACAAGTTTGAAATATTCAACTTACTATAATTTATTATCGAGAATGTCATCCTTGATACTGAATCCAAATATCTGTATATTGCTTAAGCTTTAAACTTGATTTCTTTGTCATTTTAACCATGAACTACTAGTCCCTATCTTGTTTTGATTTAGTACTTACAATTATCCTCTGGTAGGCTATATATTGAAGGTTTCTCACGAAAATTGTCATTCTGTTATTGAGGCTATCTGCAGTGATAATTTTCAATTCAAAATCAAAATTTGAATATTCCGAACTTCAGACTGATTTTTCATCAGTTGGTCACATGTTGAGAACCTCTTCAAAAAAAATACCGAAGTACAAATTTTAGATACAACACTAACGATATAAAAATCATGACAAAACCGGTTGCTGCTATTATAAAAGAAAGGTAAGGCGAGCATTGAACTGAGAAGACTTTTATTTTTAGTTACTAACCTATCATTAAGGCTGTCGTGTAGGAGATACTGGTTTGCTCGGTTAGATCAAAGATTTATGTAATGGCCTTAACTAATCCATTCTGGTTGAATCTAATCGAATTACTTTGGTTCTCTGTCACTTTTTGTTTCACAGAAGTCTCCTAACGGTGAGAAAATTTTTGACAGGGCTAAATTACTTCCACTGTTATAGTCAGTTGTAGAGCATTTCCAGAGATCCTTTACTATCGATAGTAAATTTACGCAAGTATTATGCTTTTAAATCATTACAATACGCCTCAAGTGACGGAATTAGACTGTTCTGGTATTATGTGGTGCAAAAGTTGTGTAATTTTCTTCTGCACCTCATATGATAACCGTAGCTTCTCTTAAATTCAGGCTCCTGATCGTCTTTGGTTTAGGTTTTACAACTTCTCTTTTGCCTGACACGTCTGTTACACCTCTCATTTTTAAATATTTGATAAATGTGAAATGACTGGCATTTTCGAGCTATTTTCACTCATCTATTGAGTGACTATTGCTTATTAGGGCATGATTCTCTCTAGAACTTTAGTTACAATCATCCGAATATATCTAAATATATCCTCTATGAACACGCTACTGTAGTGAATCCGGACTGACCGCATGCAAAAGCGAAAATTAGAACATGTGAAATCGTCAGTGAAAATGACGTTTCTGTATTCAGCAGTCACTCATGGAGTAGACGGAAAACATTACGTAAATACTCGACGCAGCACATATATCGAACGGTTAGAAACAGGCGTACTTCAAATTCACTGGCATCCATCCCATTTCATCATCGATCACTCTTCACCTCAGGTCACAAATCACTTTGAACGGTC